ACACACACACACACACACACACACACACACACACACACACACACACACACACACACACAGCTACTGAACCTACTAGAAAATTTTGTCTAAAGACTGAGATAAGAAGAAAGTTAACTGTAACTATAAAGGATGGACAGGCATCCATTAGAGAGTGAAGCTGTTAGGGCATTGTCCTGTTCTCCAGTCACCGTCTGATGGCTCTTTCCTGGATTTCTGCTTTATATCAACTTTCAGTTATTCTTTGTTTTGAAGTTTCAGACCCTTGCCCTGCCCACATACCTTGTTGTAGAACCTGAAGTACACTAAGTGTTCATTGCCTATAGAGCCCATCTGCCTTTCTTCATCACGCTCTATTAGGCTGCTGACTGCAGCCTCCAGTTTCCAGTCACAGTTCTCAAGGGCTCAGATGACCACCAGCTGGTGTATTTAACACTGGATATTTAAGGTCAGCTTTGAGATAGATTCAACTTTTGGTGTGCCGTGTGGTAGGCAGATAAATATGTAAACAACAGCCACTGACAACAGTAACTGTATCTGTAGTAAGGACCACGCCTTTGCACCCTAGCATCAGGAATAGTGTTTCTGGAAAAGTGAGGTATTAGGACCAAGGGAAGAGCTGGGCAGACCATAGAGACCTGCAGCAGTGTGACCTTTTGAGAGGGATGAGGCAAAGCAAGAGAAAAGCTGGGAAGGAGTAGACTGGAGAGGACCAAGGAGCCTGGGCCACCTGTAGACAGTAGCCAGTTTCTCAGGCATTTTGAGGGAGGTACTCTCCTGTGGATTTGGGGGTCTTTCAGAACTGAGCTTAAAAGGTCTACTTTTCTTACTAGCCATGTATCATCTATCCTGGTTTTAACATCAGGTTTCACATCTGTGAACTGAGCCTAATCTAGACTAAGACTACCCTAAATTGTAAGTGACCTAATCATTCATCAGACATTAGTTACTGAGTACCTGTTACATGTAAATTATTTTATAAGAAAAGGAAATGTTGTAAGGAGAGTCTATGAAGTTTAGAAAAAGCTAGAGGCTGAATCATCCCTTCCCAAACTTAGACTAATTCTCTACTCACACCAATTTTTTTGTTTCTCTTGTTGCTTGTTTTATTCTGTTTAAGGTACAGGGAGTCAAACCTAGGGCCTCCAGTGTGCTAGACTAATAATTATCACAAACTGTACCCATTTTTGTATTTTATTTCTTTTTAGTGTGTTTTCTGTCACGATTAGTGGTACTCTGAGGCAAAACCCCAAGAATCTTTATTATACCTTCTAACCATTGATCAAATTTAGCTTGTATCAGTTTTAAATATTTTGACTAAATCTTCATGTCTCTGTCCCTCTTGCCAGTGCTTTGGTTCAGGCCCTTAACTTTCATCTAGAATTGATCCCCTTTCCAGATTCGTTTTTCTTCTTGTCTCACTACCACGACAGAATCCTTGCCAGCTATAGATGGCTGCTAAACTCTGTATTTCATCAGATCCCTGCAGTGGGTTTTGGTCTGCTGCCAGGCCTTGTAGTTGGCTCCTGGCAAGTGTCAGTTGTCTCCTCTCCACATCCTCCCTCACCTGTTGTCTCAGACTTGTGTTCCTTGTTCTCTTGGTTCCACTGTGTTCAGGCAGGTGCTGTGTTCTTCTTCTCATCTGCTGTTTGTTGGAGCCAAGGTTGTTGTGCCCATCAACAGTTAACCAGCTGCTCTAGGAGGTTGAGCACAGGCCATCAGCTCTTCGCCCTTTCTCGTGATGTCTGAAGCTTTTCTTTTTCCTATTTTCTTATGAGAATTTTTAATAGTTTTCTCCTCATTTTAAGCCTGCTGCTCAGGTGAGATTAACCTATTCACACATAGTCTTTAGCAATTTTGCACTTACCCTGTTAAGAAACTGCCTTACTTTGGGAGTGGTGTGTGGTGGTATTGTGTTCCCCAAAAAATTGTGCACCCTAATAAACTTATCTGGGGTCAGAGAACAGAACAGCCACTAGATATAGAGGCCAGAAAATGGTGGCACACATGCCTTTAATCCTAGCATTCCAGAGGCAGAGATCCATCCAGATCTCTGTGAGTTCAAGGCCACATTGGAAACAGCCAGGCATGGTGACTCACGCCTTTAATCCCAGGAAGTGATGGCAGGAAGCAGAAAGGTATATAAGGCGCGAAGACCAGGAACTAGAAGCTTTTAGCTGGTTAAGGTTTCAGGCTTGGAGCAGAAGTTCAGCTGAGATCCATTTGGATGAGGACTCAGAGGCTTCCAGTCTGAGGAAACAAGATCAGCTGAGGAATTGGCGAGGTGAGGAAGCTGTGGCTTGTTCTGCTTCTCTGATCTTCCAGCGTTCACCCCAATACCTGGCTCCGGGTTTGTTTTTATTAATAAGACCTTTTGAGATTCGTGCTGCAGTGGTGTCCCTGTCTGCTTCCCTCCCTCCGTCCCTCCCGCCCTTCCTTTTTTATTTTTAGCCTTTCTATAATTATTGGAATTTGACTATCCGGAAAGATAAGGTGGAGTTGGTTACTTCCCGGTAGGCCTGCTCCATTGACCTGCTCCATCCACCTGTAGCTTGCCCTCACACAGGTGGTGGGGTTCCTCTGAGGCTTTGCTTTTCAGGATGTAGTAGCTGAGAGTTGAGAAGAGTGTGACCTCACCTATCTGCACTTTGTTTTTGACATTCTAGGTCAGGATGGCTAACAGGGTGGCTTCCTACCTGGTGTCCTACGTCTACATCACACCTTAAAGAAGCTGAAGAGAAAATGTTAAAATGTAAGGTTTTCCTCTTGTAAGTTACTTGAACTATTTACTAAAATAGACCTAATATATTGCATTGTCCTGAAACTGAAGATAAGATTCTGTGGTGTGTTAGCTGCTGGCAAAAGAGCCTTTTTACTCTTCTGTGTCAGCAAGTGGCACAGTGTCTGGGGGGGCAGTGATTGTCAGTTTTTTGGGTCTTAGATCCCTGTTAAACTCTTAAAATAGTAAGGATCCCAAGGAGCATTGTTTATGGATTATAGTTATCAATATTTATAGTAGAATTAAATTTGAATTGAACATTTTTAACATGTTAATTTTTTTAAAATAATAGTAATAAACCATTGCGTGTTAAAATATTGTTTGTAAAAACATTGCCTGCTTGTCAAAAACTGTAATTAGAGGAAGAACATCGCTTTCATGAGTACAGATCTGTCTGATGAGCTGGACTCTACCTGTTTCTGTGTACTCGCTTGTCACATGACTGCAGCTCATCGAGAATGAGAGTAGGCAGGGCATGGTGATGCACATCTTTAACCCCAACACTCGGGAGGCAGAGGCAGGTAGATCTCTGAGTTTGAGGCCAGCCTGGTCTACAGAGAGAGTTCCAGGACAGCCAGGACTAAACAGAGAAACCCTGTCTCAAAAAACAAAACAACACAACAACACAAAAGAAGGAGAGTAGAAGGGCAAACATGGAGCTAGAGAGAGGTCAGCTTTAAAGCACGGACTGGTTTTGCAGAGGGCCAGAGTTCAGTTTCAGCACTCACGCCAGGTTATGAATCCCCTGTAACTCCAGCTCCAGGGGATCCGATGCCTCTGGCCTCCATGGGCACTGCACTCACATGTACATACTCTTGTGTGAGTTCTCAGCACACACACACACACACACACACACACACACACACACACACACACACACAAATTTTTTTTAAAGCATGACAAATAAAGCTTTAATACCAGTGTTATAAGTTTTAATAGCTTCAAAACCTCTCAAAGACCTTCCTGCTGTGCCCAAGCTATGTACTTGAGAACAGATTCCTAGTGCTCCAGAGCCCCATTAGTGGAACATAGTCTAGACTGTAACCAAGTCACTTGGCCCAGACCTGCTGTGAAGTGGTGCCAGCTCTTGGGTAAGTCACCTTGCTCAGCCTCCCAGTCCTTAACTATAGAACGAGGCAGGGTGGGGGTGGTGGTGGAGGGGTGCTCCTTTGCATTCTGACTGTACCATTCTTTAGATCCACATTTGTATTGGCACAGAATCCTGTTGTTCTTTCTTAGCACTGAAATTGAGCCAGACTTCTGGTATTTATTGTACAGTTTTGTTCTGCTGATAGAATCTACAGGAGTGGATAAAGGAAGGGCTTCCTATTGTGATTATTCCTTATGTTTCTGCTGATGTCTGTCTACACCTGTTTTTCACCCTCTTGTTTATACACTTAGCAATTGCAGAGTAAGTGATCCTAACTGGTTACCTTCTTAGAAATGAGTAGTTAGTTAGCCCTGTTATGTGGGTTTTAACACAAAAATGAATTTCTATTCCATATACCTGGATAATGTTGCTCTGTACAAAGCTAGCAGAAATTTTAATTGTGGTTTGCCAAAATAAACTTTTTTTGTTTGATTGTTTGTTTTCTGAGACAGGGTTTCCTTGTGTAGCCCTGGCTGTCATGGAACTCACTTTGTAGACCAGGCTGGCCTCAAATTCCAAGAGATCCACTTCCCTCTTGAGTGCTCGGATTAAAGGTGTGCACTGCTACCACCCATCAAGTAAAAAACTCTTGCTAGGAGATTTATTAAAAATGCTAAATTCCCAATATGTGTATGGATGTCTGACTGAGAATTGGCCCTGTTCTGATGTCAGACATGAATGTAAGTGACTGAACACCGGGATGAGCGCTTTACTAGATGTTACAAATAATTTTTATGGGAATTCTTAGGCCTGTTTCAAAAAGCTGAAGAGATTTGGCTTGTTGCGAGAGAGCGAATTCTGTGAGAGAATTTCTTCCCAGTTAAGGCAAGGCATCTATTAAATTTCTAAATGCTGCCTTTCTCTTTGCTGCCTCCATGAATATAAAACCTAAAGTTAGTTCTTTGACAAAGGCAGGAAACATGTGGCTGTCCATATTTTGTCTGTTGCACATGTATATGCACAGGTGATTCAAGATATTCCTAGAGGGTAGCTATTCAGTTGATAATTTAATATCAGTTGACTTTAATTTTATCTTTGGTCAATTTAAGGCATTTAAAGTATTTAGTTTTATGTAATTGTGAACACAAGGGTTTTGATCTATAAAACTGTATCATTTTTATTTTCTGGGCAAGTGGCTTGAACTCAAGTCGCCTCATGATGAGGTGTTCTTGTCATGCCCTAACTCATCAGGTATGTGTTTAGTATAGATATGATCAATCCTTCCCCAAGTTCCTGATGACTTTCCATGGTCCTTTCCAGTTGACTTCAGTCTCAAGCTAATCCATCAAGTGCTCTGCAAATTCAAGTGGTATTCTTTTGTTATTGTCTGCAAAGATAGAGACCTTAAAATAATGGGATCAGTGACCACTAAGTTCTTCTCCAGTTCTAGGCATGTAATACCTTCATATGCTAGAGTGGAGAGAAGTCAGGAGGTCATATGACTTGCCAAAGACTTTAACCACAGATACTTGAGGCTTGTCTAAGGTAAGTTTTCCCACATAGTTATAAAACATGGTCATTTAGATTTGCTTGCTTTACTCAGGTATATACTCTTTTAGGGTTGATATAATAAAAGCAAAAAAAAATATATGACTATTCATTGTGTTTGCTCTGAGAGCTCTCAGAAACAGTGAAACTGAACAGAGTGCTCTCTGTTCCCACCAGGTGTCCCCTGCACTTACAAGAAAGAGCCTGTTCGCATATCCAATGGAAACAGAATATGGACACTAATGTTCTCTCACGACATTTCTAGTAAGACACCACTTGTCCTCCTCCATGGTTTTGGAGGAGGTCTTGGACTTTGGGCCCTGAATTTTGAAGATCTAAGCACCGATAGGCCTGTCTATGCCTTTGACCTGCTGGGCTTTGGAAGAAGTAGTAGACCTAGGTTTGACAGTGATGCGGAAGAAGTGGAGAATCAGTTTGTGGAATCCATTGAAGAGTGGAGATGTGCCCTCAGGTTGGACAAAATGATCTTGCTTGGACACAACCTGGGAGGGTTCTTGGCTGCTGCTTACTCACTGAAATACCCATCAAGGTAAGTGTCAGCAGCAGAGGAGAGGGTCACAACCAGCAGCCAAGTATCAGTCTCTGGTTCCCATTCTTGGTAGTTACTGATTAGCCTTACATGATAGACATTCTCTTAAAAGACCCTAAAGATAGATGACCACAACTGGTAACCAATTTTGTACCTAAAAGAATGAAATCAGCGGGTGCACGCCTTTAATCCCAGCACCTAAAAGAATGAAATCAGCGGGTGCACGCCTTTAATCCCAGCACTCGGGAGGCAGAACCAGGCAGATCTCTGTGAGTTCAAGGCCAGCCTGGTCTACAAAGTGAGATCCAGGACAGGCACCAAAACTACACAGAGAAACCCTGTCTTGAAAAAAAAAACAACAACAACAACAAAAAAAAGAATAAAATAAGCTTGACAAAGGACATTATATTTGTTATTCATAATTATACAAAATCTAATCTTTTAGTTTTTTTAGTTCTTTTGAGACAGGGCCTCACTATGTAGCTCTGACTGGCCTGGAACTCACTATGTAGACCAGAATGGCCTCCAGTTCTCAGAGATCTACCTGCCTCTTCATCTCTAGGGCTGGAATTCAAGGTTTGTGCCACATGATTGGCCTAATGTATAACTAACTTTAAGCCACCGGTGAAAATACCATGGTGTTATTGCTTATTTTTACTCTAACAATTAAAGCTTTGGATCTATCGGGCTTCTCCAGACTTTTTGCTAAATTATAGTAAGGTCTAATGGGAAGCAGGCTATGTCTGTGACGGAGCAAACTGTGAGCTCCGAACTTCAGTTCCCTTCATAGTGCACCTTTCATGGTTTTTGACTCTATCGTTCCCTGGACTTTTTCATTACAGAGCTTTTAAAGAAATAATTATTTTTGAAACAGGATCTTGCTGGATGCTAGGCTGACTTCTAGCTTACTATGTAACCCATGCTGACTTCAAACTTCAACATCAAGCCTTTTTCTGCCTGAGAACTATTCTGCTCAGCCAGAACTATTTTCCAATTCTTGAAATTTTTTTTAATTTTTAAAAATTATTTATTTATTTATTCATTTTTCTATTATCAGCTTGATACAGTATAAATTCTTGTCCTAATAGTGAAATGTTTCATTGAGGCTTGCCCAGTAATTGAGTAAAACCAAAACTTATTATAAGCCACAGTCATCCTAGTGTTCCCCCTGCTATATAGCCTCCCTGGTTCTGTGGGTTGTGGTCTGATTGTTCTTTATTTTATATCTAGAATCCACTTATGAGTGAGTACATACCATGTTTGTCCTTCTGGGTTTGGGTTACCTCACTCAGAATGATATTTTCTAGTTCCATCCATTTGCCTGCAAATTTCATGCTGTCATTGTTTTTCTCTGCTGAGTAGTACTCCATTGTGTATATGAACCACATTTTCTTAATGCATTCCTCAGTTGACGGGCATCTAGGTTGTTTCCAGGTTCTGGCTATTACAAATAGTGCTGCTATGAACCTATGTATCTTTGTGGTATGATTGAGCATTCCTTGGGTTTTGTTCTTTTCTTTGCCTTTTTAGGTGTGACAAATAGAAGATTTTTAAAATAGTTTAAGTAAAAGAATGTAATTTTTTTAAACTTTAAGTAAAATCATGGGGATAACAGTGAATGCAGCATTTCATTTGGGGGTGCCGAGGGACCCAGTCCTACCTGTTCCTATCCGTGTCTTATATGGGCAGTCTCATTCTTCCATTCTATATTTTTAAGGACAGTTTGAAAAGAGTGAAAATCCCTAAGAATCCTACTGAAGAAGGATTCTTAGAGAAAACAAAGTTGGTTTGTTTTTGTTCCATTTTGTGTGTTCGGTCAGTACAGGTGCATTTCTAAGTGCCCCTGTCCACCACAGCCGTTTCCAGCCTTACTGTGGCAGTGTCCCTGTGTGTTCCCCATATTCCACCAGCTGATAAGAGCTGTGTGCTGTATACTTGACTTCCATTGAAATATTGGTGATGAATGAAATGTTCCAATAGTGTATTCTAGGAGATTGGTTGTTTACTGATATTCAGTGACTTTGTGTTTGGAGGAGGGCATTTTGTCTTAATTCTTTATCTTTAAAAAGAAAATGTCTGCAGAGGCACCTGAGCTCTGTGTACACTGTAAACTTTGGTGGTGGTTTTGAGTCACAGATGCATTTTCCCCAGATGCTGTTACTCATACCCTCCCTAAAGAGATGCTTCACAATGCATCATACCTTGTTGGTATGTCAGATAGATGCCCAGTTGTGTGTGCACAGGAGGGAACGTTGTGAGTGTGAGGTTTATTGGAATGGCACTTTAAATACCCACACAGTGGCTCCATCCCTGGGATGAGTGCTGTGGTGGGGAGTGGACAGTGTTGTGAAAACCTGATCTGGTCTCCCATCCAATGATGGTCTAAAGAAATATTTCTTGAGCTGAGATCTAAAAGAGGAATACTGGGTAGCAGGAGATTATTATAAGCAATGGGCATACATTACAGAGGCCCCATGCTAGGCAGGCACCTGGGCTATTTAGGAAAGGCCAGTGGGCAGAGAAGTTATGGGCTGCCTAGTAAAAGACTCCAAATGAAGGCACAGCACCTCTTTGTTCCTTCCCACACAGCAACCTCAGTTCATCTCAGTTGTTGTTGTTGTTTTAACTACAGTGTGATGAGTGGCGATGCCACCTGGAATTTCATGAGTAGATTGATATGATGGGTCACAAATAGAGCTACTTGCTGCTTGAGGCGTCTTGGGCTGTCTCCCCTTAAGAGTGAAGCTAGCCAGTGTTGGTAACCAAGATACTTGCCTCTTCCTCTCAACTGTTCAGATTTTCCTTTTAGATCTCTTTTCTTTGCAAAGAAATATCTGTGTCACAGGTATTTGCTCTACACTAAGAAAAGGATATGATAGAAGCTTAGAAGGTTGTATGGTATACCATGGTACAAAACTGCAGTCCCATCACCTGGGGGACAGAGGCCAGGAGTGCAAAACCTGAAGGTCACTCTGGAACACACAATGAGATCTTATCTCAAAAACGAAACTAGTAGAAAGGAACTAGCAAAGAGAGCCATCCTAGGTTATACAGCATGTTAGAACTTGTCTCCACTAATAAAAGATTTTTGGACAGTATTATCTTGAGTTCCTACAGCCTTTACCTGACTGCTTCCTGACAATGCAGACCTAGACCGAGCAGCTTCCTGGCTCCTCTTAAGAAGAGCTCTTGCACTTGACCTGAAGCTGGAAGTGCTTTGGTGGTTTCAGGTCCTCCCTTTCTCCCCAGTGGTGTGGTGCCAACAGGAAATACCCTGGGCTACCTCTGGTCTGAGAATGCTCCTTTGTGTAGACTGGAATTCTTTCCGGTCACCTTCCTTGCTCCTTTCCTTATTTCAAGGAAGCCCTGTAGATTTTCTGTTCATTTTAGTTCTGGGTGATTGTTCTGGTTGTATCATTCTAGCTGGCAGCTGACTGAATCTATAAAAACCAAGCGTCTATAGTCATGTGCTCATTTAGACAGAACAGCATCTCATCCCAGCATGTTAGTGCAGATGTGACCCATTGCTTTGCCTTAAAGGTGTAAGCTGTTTATGTGCTGCAGACTCAAGAACTCTGGTGCCTACCATCAGAAGAATGCCTTTTTGTCTCCAAACTGATGGACTCTCCTCTTATTCCTGCTCTTATGGTTCTTTGTTTTCCCTGTAGTTTAACCACTCTCCAGTTCTTGAGGAAGGTGTCTGATGGGAGGACACAGGGATGCTGTCTTCTCAGACTCGCTCCTTACCTCCATGTACACTGACAGTCCTGTCAGGGCGGAGCCAGCACAGGGGCTCACATTTGTAATCTTAGCTCTCAGGAGGCAGAGAGGCAGGAGAAGCACTATAGATCGAGGCTAGTCCAGGCTACATAGTATCTCCAGAAGATAATAAATAAAACAAAAGTTTAAGAATCTTCCAAGCCAGGCAGTGGTGGCGCACGCCTTTAATCCCAGCACTCGAGAGGCAGAGGCAGGCGGGTCTCTGTGAGTTCGAGGCCAGCCTGGGCTACAGAGTGAGTTCCAGGACAGTCAGAGCTGCACAGAGAAACCCTGCCTTGGAAGACCAAAAAACAAAACAACAACAACAACAAAAACCCAGAAAGAACCAGTGTATCCTCTGTGGAATAGACTTTGCTATGATAGCTTCCCTTACTGAATACTTACCATGGTAGCCACCAAGTGTGTGTGTGTGTGTGTGTGTGTGTGTGGTCTTTTATATTCAAAATGCTTACACTGGAAAACAAGGGAATTATTTTGTGAGGTTTTTTAGATGTAGCTAAAATGGATGCAATCTAACTACATTTCTGATGTAGGAGGCTTTAAAAATTTATTTTCAAACTTTTTTTTTTTGCTATAGTGTTGTAAAGAATTTATATGTGTGTGTGGTGGGGGGTAATGTTTGTGCTTGTTGTGTTTTTTAATTCCAAATAGTATATTTTATTGAGAATAAACAACACTGGCTTTTGGTCCTCTGTAATATCGTAACAAGCAGCAGTATGATCCAGTGCCATCTGGGGACCACAGTATCACATACTAGACTAGGGTGGTATGTGGAATGTTTGAATACTGTTACTAAGAACCAAAACAAAACTACAAACGCTTACTGAGCATCTGCCACCTTTGCCATGCTGGGTCCTAAAGACAAACTTGAACAACCCTGTGCCAGTTTGCTACCTTCAAAAACAAACAGACAAAAAAGGTCCTTCACCCTGGTTTATGTACTTTACACAATGTATTTAGCTGACATTTTCCAGGGGGTGATATTTTGAAAATTATATTAAGCAAGGCAAGCAAAACAATAGTCACTTACCTAGAGCAGGGTGAGACTTTCCTTCTCCAGCACAGTGGGGTGTTTAAATGAAGAGCTCATTTCTTGTTTAGGAGGATTGTCAGTAGTGAATATTGATAGCTGATTCCTCCCATGAAAGTGTGCTGTTTTCAGTAAGATGGCCGTTCCGTTAATTCTGCTCTACCACTGGAGTTGTGTCTCAACCACTCTCCGAATTTAAAGGACTCTGCCATTTTGTTTTCCAAAAAAAAATGTATTTCCAATCTTTTTCTTATACACTATTAAAAAATATTTTTCCGGGTGGTGGTGGTGCACACCTTTAATCTCAGCACTTGGGAGGCAGAGGCAGGCAGATCTGTGTGAGTTCGAGGTCAGCCTGATCTACAGAGGGAGACCCAGGACAGGCACCGGAACTACACAGAGAAACCCTGTCTCGAAAAAACAACAACAAAAAATTTTAAAAACTTTTAGGCTTGAAAACACACTAAGTATGCACAACTGTCATGTGCTACATAAGCTTCCTCCAAATCCATAGTTCTATCCCACAAATGGTCTCAGGGCTATACAATTTGGAAGACAGTGTTTGAATTAGCTAAGGGTTGGTAAACTAAGATTTACTGTTCTGTTGCTGTGGTTACTTCAGGAATAAAAGCCTGCCGGGTGAGTAGTTGTCCTCTGTGAGCATACTAGAGTGGGAGATGAGGTTCAGCCTTATTCTGCATTAGAACCATTGCATGCTGGTGCATGTCCACTATATGGCTCAGCTTCCTTCCGTCTGTGATGAGAGGTGAGACTGAGTTTTCTCCATGCTCCTGAGCTCTGTTCTCTGGGACTGTGTTCTAAGGCTTTCTGTTTGGAAAAAAACACCAAGTAAGAATTGTTACTCATCCCTACATGTGCTGACAATAATAAAGCAGATTTTTATGTAAGGAATAAAACTATGTGGACAGTTTTCAGTTGCTTTGCCACTGTTTCAGGTGTGGCTAGGGAGGCTGTCAGAGACATTGTCGTCTTATTCTGGGGGGTTACCTAGCATTGGATGACTTCTTTGGTTACAGTTGAAGATGCCCTTGTGTTGAGGATGGGTTGTGCTTCAGTTACAATCCTTACCATGAAAAGAAGAAATTACACCTGTCACCTGGTGGCAAATCACAGTTCTGTTTTTTTTTCTTTATCAGGATAAGTTTCATAAGACAAAATTACACCTTTTAATGGTGTAATGAGTCTATTTGTATGAAATTGAAATGAAAAAGTTTGCTAGTAAAGAAGTTGGGGATGGATTAGGAAGAAAATTATGGCTAGTATATCATGATGTCATGGGTGGAGTAGACAGACATGCTCCTTTCACCACATCCAGACTCCAAACTAAAATGCACTTTGTTATCCCAGGTTCTATAATTGTCAAGTTTGTGGGGAAACCCTAACTTGCCTTAAAATTTTATAATTATTGTCCCATAAGAGATTAACCATTCCACGAGTGCAATGTTGAGCTGCACAGAACCACTGGACTCTTCTGAGTGGTCAGTGATGGGTGTCACCTGCTGAGTGCCCTCTCCTCTTCCTCACTTTCCCCTTCTCTTTCTCTTTTCTTTTTAAGAAACACAGTTATATATTCTACTTTAGTGTGCTTTTTGCTACCCAAATTTACATATAAGCAGAGCCTTCTTTTTACTGTAAATCCCTCAAATCCTTCCAGTCTTAAGAGCTGACAAAGCAAAAGCATGATATTGCCTGGTTAACAATTGGTCTTCTCTTTAAGGGGGTTCAGTCTACCTTGAGTTTGTTCAGTTAGCTCTTTACAGTTAACGGATGAATTTACAAAATCAACTTAAATCTATTATTTTTCCTCAACAGGGTTAGTCACCTCATTTTAGTAGAGCCATGGGGTTTTCCCGAGCGACCAGATCTTGCTGATCAAGAGAGACCAATTCCAGTCTGGATCAGAGCCCTGGGAGCAGCATTGACTCCCTTTAACCCCTTGGCTGGCCTCAGGATTGCAGGACCTTTTGGTGAGTGTTCATGTCCTGGGAAGGAACAATGTTTATAGATGAACAGTAGAAGTGTGCCTGATTCCTCTACCTAGGATAGGACAGGGCTGCATCCCACTAAAGCCACTGTCAGCTCAAAGTTCCAACCTAACATCATGGAGCAGCAGCAACAGCATAGTATACTGTAGAGCTCTTATAGCTGGTCAAATGGGTCACTGTCACTTCCTGTCATCACAGGAGAGTCTGGTTCCGCATGTCAGCTCAGGAAACCATCAAAATTCAAAATATGATTTTTACTGAACACCTATTGCTTCTCTACTGTCCTAAATTGAAGTGTCATCCATCTGTGTTTACTGATCACCATTGTTAGTCAAAGTCGTGAATAAATCAGGGCTCTTACTTCCCTGATTATCCCTTCATAAGTGTCAGGCTGAATAATAATAAGATGAAGCTAATCACGTTCCTGGAGAGGGAGCTTTTATATGGAAAAACATTGCAAGTAATTAGCAAAGCAGAGACAGCGGAAGTGCTGGGGTAAGGCAGGTCAGTCTCAGCACCCCAACATCCAAGTAGGTGCAGTTTTGGATAAGGGCAGGCGTAAAGCATGATGACCTCTGGTGGTCATTTGAGAGTACGTGGCTATCAGAGAGAATTAAGCAGTCGATCATAAAACCTAATTGATTGACTGTGGAGCGGACAATGTCACCATACTCAGATTTCTTCTTTCCTCCTTCCTGTTAGTGTGATGAAAGGTAAAACCATCGTTTGCATGAACATTTTGGGGACTCCTGATTATTTATTTACTTTAAGTGTTTATTTGTTTTGAGTATTAATGTTTAAACTCGTAGTTCTAGTGTCTTAGCTCATAGCCACAGAAATTTCCTTCTCTTATTGACTCAGATGATGATGATCTGAGCCTCTACTCTGCCCCCTTACAGTTTATATAAGATGGTAGTGCTTTTAGCAATAAATAACTGAATATCTGATAAATGCCTTAAACCATGAGGTCTTTTATTAATTTTCTAACAAGCAGTCTGAGGTGGGTGGCTCTATCACTTTCTGGTAGCTTCTGTGATGTTGGTGCTTGTTTCTATACCTCTGATGATGAAAATGATCAACTGAGACAGGGTTTCACTATGTAGCCCCAACTGGCCTGGAACCCAAAATGTAGATCAAGCTGACCTCAAATTCACAGAGATCCACCTGTCTCTGTCTTCTGAGTGGTAGAATTAAAGGTGTACCACCATCCTGGCCTATGTCTGTGATCCTTTTAACAATCTTAAAAAAAAAAAAGTGTATGTATGGGTGTTTGGTCTGCATGTATGCCTGCACACCATGTGTATGCCCGGTGCCCTAGGAGGCCAGAAGATGGCATCAGATGCCCTGGAACTGGAGTTACAGATGGTTGTGAGCCACTATGTGGGTGCTGGAACTGAACTCAGGAAGACCAGCCAGTGCTGTTAACTGCTGAGTCATATCTCCAGCCCTGTGTCTGTGATCCTCTCTTCCCTGGTTGTTATCCAATGATTCCATGACATGAAGTCTCCTCTCACAAAGCAGCTCCAGGAACAAAGAGGAAAACAGGAAAAATGCTCTCTAGAATCTTCTACATCAGTGAAGAAGGCTCCAGTAGACCATCTCTTCTCTCTTTCTGCCTACCACTAGTTCTTTGTCTAGAAGGATACATTTAAGGTCCTGATGACAATTTGCTCTAGAGCTCAAGGGAAGTCAGCCTTCCTTGGCAGTTGCTGCCTAAGTCAGTACGATAGAAGAAAGCTGCATTCATTCTATTAGCAGGAAAAGGAGAGAGGCAGGGGAAGGCAGATAAAGGTTAGAGTGACCACTCCCTGGCTGGCTAGATTCTGTTCCCTTCTTTCCAGTCCTGGAAACCTCCTTGCCCGTTGGGTGAGAACAGTTGGGTAAGGGAGTCATAAGAAACCACAGCGTTGAACTAGTGACGTGTGACACTTCTCCAGGGCTCATTCAGATACGATTTCTCCTCCTTCAGTCTTCAGTCTGTCTTAAAAACCACCCCTTTCTGGATATTTGGCCACCCCTTGGAGAGCTTTTTGGATACTCATGAAATGTGAACAGATTGTACTGCATCACCAGCATACAAATGACAATTATGGGGAAAGGAAAGTGTGAAAAGAAATTAGGTCGGGCAGTGGTGGTGCATGCCTTTAATCCCAGCACTTGGGAGGCAGAAGCAGGTGGATCTCTGTGAGTTCAAGGCCAACCTGGTCTACAGAGCAAGATCCAGGATAGGCACCAAAACAACACAGAGAAAAAAAAAAACAAAAAGAAAAAAAAAGAAAAAGAAAAAGAAAAGAAGAGAAAGAAATTAGGAGGCAGTCTTAATGAATTTTGACATCACTAACCAAATACTTTACCAAAACAGAGAGCAATGGATTTACATTAATTCAGTTTCAGGGGCTTTTGGATCATTGTGACTGGGAAGGAATGCACATCATGGTCATGGAGGCTGTTCACATCCTCCAGACCAGGAAACATCCATTCTAGTAGCCTGTTTCTACCAGCTAGGCCCTGCCTCCTCAATTCTATCGCCTCCCAAAATAGTGCCACCAGCTATTTAAGTTTAAAACCTGAGCCTGTAAGGGATGTTTAAGGTTCAGACAGGCAGCGATAGGTGAGGGAAGGCATGGAGGAGTGGATGTGAGGGAAGACGTGGAGGAGTGGATGTGAGGGAAGGC